GGTAGAGCTCGCTTCCGGCCTTTGTGTTACCAAAGGGGTTCCCCCGACGGTGGACGGGGTCCTTGGGGCCCGGAGCGGTAGGTGAGGTTCTGGTGCAGGTAGTTGCCCGGGAAGAAAGGACGTCCGAGGGGCAGTGCTGCCTGGACACCGCCCAGCCTCCGGGAGGGGAGGCGCCTTGCTCTCCGTGGTCCATGGTCTGCAGCCCAGGGATGCTGGAGACGGTGCAGGCCCCGCTGTTTCAAAATGGAACCGTTGCCTGCTGGCGGGCAAGGACTGGCACGGGATTAGGTTTCTGTCCAGAAGGGGAAAGCTGCATTCAGGATTCTGACGATTTGCGGAATGTTTCAGGTCATGGAAGCTGTGAGGGAAATCATGAAAATCACCTGCCAACCAAGAAACTCCTCTCTACAAACGAAGAACTAAGTAGCTTTATCATAGAATAGGCACTCCGCTAGATTGCTACCCCTATCGCAGGCGATCTGCTACTAGGGTTGCAAAGACAAAGAGTCCTCGCCTCTCTGTGTACCTAGATGTAACCTATTCGTATTACGTGTATGTTCCCAAGATCAACAGCTTGTCCTTAGGAGGACTTGACCGCAGCATTTGCCCCGGGGACTGCAGGGAAGCCCACCTCCCCATAGTTCATCCAAGTGCACTGGTAGATGGGGTGGCTCTTTGTGTTAGCTTTTATCCTAAGGGAAAATAAGACTTCGCAGTATCTTTTTGATAAGCCGGTGGTTGCAACATGGAGCCAGATGCCAAGCCTAAACTCAGAGACAAGATCAGCTCCATCTGGTGTTCCTTGGTGTTTACATTTTCTTTTTTTAAAATATATTTTATTGAGGTATAGAGAGTTAGAAACATCGATGAGAGAGAAACATCGATCAGCTGCCTCCTGCACGTCCCCTACTGGGGATGTGCCCGCAACCAAGGTACATGCCCTTGATGGGAATCGAACCCGAGACCCTCCAGTCCGCAGGCCGACGCTCTATCCACTGAGCCAAACCGGCCAGGGCTACATTTTCTTTATTTGTCTTTAATTTCATTGTTGAAAGTATTACATATGTCTCCCTTTTCCCCCATTGACCCCTTCTAGCCCACCCCCAGGCCCCCAGCCCAGGCCTTCACCAACCTATTGTCTGTGTCCATGGGTTATGCATATATGTATACAAGTTCTTTGGGTGAAACAGATAGTCCCAAAGCCACTAAGAAAGACTTTATTGGATTGCAAGAGGCTTACTTACCTTTTAAAAAGATGTATATGTATGTCAGAGACATAAAGCAATCACAAGTTTGCTCAAGGAAATGCTGTAAGAAAGGGGAGTGGATGGGGAGGTCTCTTTCCCCTTTTCCACAAAGGAAAGATCTTTTAAAAGATTTGCATTTATACTTCTTTACAAAGCCTAAAATGTTGTCTTTGTGTCAGAGATGTTTCTGTATAAGTAATTGATCTGTTGGCCTGGACTCATACTTCTCACTTATACTGATGAAGACTGACAAAGTCTTACTTTTCTGTTGTTTTCTTAATCCTCATATGAGGATATTTCTTCCATTGATTTTTAGAGAAAGTGGAAGGAAGGGGGAGAGAGAAACATAGATTGGTTGCCTCCTCAACGTGCCCAGACTGGGTACGGGATCAAGCCTGCAGCCAAGGTACATGCCCCCAGAATCAAACCCTTCACCAGAGTCAAACCCACGATTCTGCAGTCTGTGGGTGGTCACTGACCACTGAGCCAGACCGGCTAGTGCCAAAGTCTTACTTTTTAAACTTAATTTTATCGTTTCCCAAAATCACCATTACCTTAGGTCAGGAAGCTTACAAAATAAGTTGCTCACAGTATGTATCTTCTTCCTGAAGCTACACCTTTGTCTTTGAATAAAACTGAGAAAAACCCATTTTGTCAGCATCATTCTTAAATTTTTAGAAGGTGATTTTTTTAATTGAGGTTACAATTAGCATATAACATTCTTTATATATATATGTATGTATATATATAATCTATATATATATCAAATTACAATAATTTGATTTATGTATATATTGCAAAATGATCACTACAATAAGTTTATTGACACCCATCACCATACAGTTACAATTTTTTTTTCCTTGGGGTGAGAACTTTTAAGATTTACTCTCTTAGCAATTTTCAAGTATATATAGAGTATTGTTAATTAGGTATGTGCCCTGACAGGGAACCAAATCCACAACCTTTTGGTGTACAAGTCGATGCGCCAATGAACTGGGTCACCCAGCCAGGGCTACTTAATTATTTTAATTACAGCAGTAACACGTGTCTGTTATTTTTAAAAAAATCAGAAAATGCTCATTAGCACAGGGTGGAAAATAAGTCACTTTTAATCCCAGCACCCAAAGATAACCTCCTATAATAATTTGGTACATGTTTTTTAAAAAAGTACAAATGTGACATAATATAGTACCTATTTTGTATAGCCCTTCTCTTCCCCCACCTCCAATAGTGTAGTGTGGACACATGCACTGTCTGACCTATAATCCTAGTTTTACTTTTAAGGAATTGTTCTATGTTTATAACACAATAATCTATATAATAAAAGGGTAATATGCTAATTAGACTGGACATCCTTCCGGACGTCATTCTGGATGTCCTTCCTGACGAAGCCGGGCCGGAGGGAAGCCAGCCCAGGTCCCAGGTCCTAGGTGCTGGAGGGAAGCCAGTGCTGGCAGCTGGGGGAAGGAAGGCCTACTCTTGCATGAATTTTCATGCATCGGGCCACTAGTCTATATATGGCTAAGTGACCAACCATACATGCATCCGACTGTCCGACCGACCGGTACATATGACATGCACTGGCAATTTAAAAATAAGCGTTGACTCGTGCGTGCACAATACATATAAAGCTCTCGCTGGCGCCAATCTAGACAAGAGTAAGAATTTTCCGACCTGAACACGTTTTCCGACATGGTCAGTTATATGTTGCTTTCTCTCGAGTTCGAAGAGCATGTGACATTAAAGTTAAAGTTGCAAATACTTCATCATAAGGGAAATTAGTCAAGCTCTCTGAAAGTGTTTTTACTATTAATGTGGTATACACAGATATTAGAATAAGTTTAATCAATTTATTAGTCATTGTTTTTATCAATGTTTTTATATCATGTTTTTGTTTTTATATCATGTTTTTGTTGTTTTTATATCTTGTTTTTATATCGTGTCTTTATTATATTGTGTTGTTATTGTTTATTAATCAATTTATATATTATTTTCATATACATTTTACTAATTTTCTTTCATCTCTGACACTTCTATTATAGAGAAAGGGCAAATAGTGATATTAAATTATTTCTTCTAATTAAATTCCTTTCAATGTGCACGAATCCATGCACCAGGCCACTAGTAGTGTTATAAAAATGGTTTTCATTTCTGCAAAGAGGATTTTTTTTTTTGAGGTTAAAAGCTATAATTCTAAAAGTCACTGAGCAGATCCAGCATCTGACTGTTCTGGCATTTCCTCAGAGGGATAGAGAGTTAGAAACATCGATGAGAGAGAAACATCAGTCAGCTGCCTCCTGCACACTCCCCACCGGGGATGTGCCCGCAACCAAGGCACATGCCCCTGACCAGAATCGAACCTGGGACTCTTGAGTCTGCAGGCCGACGCTCTATCCACTGAGCCAAACCGGTCAGGGCTAAAAGCTATAATTCTAAAAGTCACTGAGCAGATCCAGCATCTGACTGTTCTGGCATTTCCTCAGAATGACAGCTTTGCCTTTGTCTTCGCCACAGCAGATCAGGACACCTATCGAGCCTCCCAATCAGCAGTGCCTTGTTCATATAAACCAAACAAAAATGCCACACCAGAAACACGATTGGGTTCCTCCCATAACTCTCTCCTGCCAGAGGTGCCCTTAAAATTGTGATCAGAAAAGGTCTGCTTCATGCAAATCACATTCCTATGGGCAAATGTTTCATTGGATGGGTGTACCTGATTTTTTGAAGAAACAGAAAATGCAGTTGGCATTAAAGTTATATATTATTTGCATGCAGTGTCTTACTAAAAAAAAAAAAAAAGACCATCTGTAGATTACAATACTATCGTCTTCCCAGGGTTACTTGAAGATTATATCAGACAAAACGCATAAAGTGCTTAACTCCATGCCTAGCATCAGAGCATTCACTACTGTTGTAAAAATTTTTTAATCTGGTATTGATTTTAGGTGAACTTTAAATCATTTTCTTTTTATGCAGAAGACTTAACCAATGGTTCATATGATGATGTCCTAAATGCTGAACAACTTCAGAAACTCCTTTATCTGCTTGAGTTAACTGAGGATCCTGCGATCATTGAAAGAGCTTTGGTCACTCTGGGTAACAATGCAGCCTTTTCAGCTAACCAGGTAAGTTCCCTCGTCTGGGCGCACGGGCTCCTCCCATTCTTACCCACCGCAGTAATGGTGACCCTGCGGAGTTACAGCCTCAATTTCCTCACTTACGTAATGTGACTACCTACACCTGTAGCAGCTTAAAGAGATGTCATTATTAATTTTGTTTACTTCTGAAAACGCCGCTTAAAGAGATGTAATTATTAATCTGTTTCTACATCCCTATGAAGTTGGTCACAGGTATCACATTCGTAATAAGTGTATCTAACATTAGCATTGCGTGGCCTTTTAAATTATTTAACATTCAGCAGTAGAACAATGAAAGCATCTAACATTTAAGTACATGCTTTACGCTGTAATAACTCTTATGAGGGTGGTTCTGGTGCAGGCTGTCCCCGGATCACTCCGACAACCACTAACCAGGGTAAACAGCTTATAAGACTAAAGAGCTTAATTTGAATGCTTTCATCTCTGACCCCATGAAGAAAGAGTAGAAAAATTTTTTGTTATTATTTTCAGCTAGTGCCCCTTTTTAACATGTAATGAATGCAAAATTAATTGGAATTTTATACTTTATTTCAGTCCAGCTTTCTTCAGTAAGGCAAGGTTTACTATAAAGCTCTAGACATTTAGAATGAAATAGAAAGAATATTTGTGTATTGCTCACATTCTTTCAGTTGCAAGTGACAGGACCCAGCTTAAATTATTTTAAACCAGAAAGGGAAAATATTGAGCTCAGTTAACTTGGACATCCAAGAATAGCACTGGTCTCAGGCACAAGTGAATACAGTTCAAGACTATGGAAAGTGTTACCGGAGCTCGCTCGCTCTCTCTCTATCTTCTGTCTTTGCTTACTCCTGCTTCTTTTTGTGTGTTGGTCTTTGTGTCTCTGGCTGCAAAGAGGTTTCCTTCACAGGGATGGAAACAAAGCCACTGGCCTCTGAAGCCTTCATCCCTATAGCTCATAGTCCAGAAGGTGGAGTTGCTGTGCTAGGGTCAAGTCTCTGGGTCAAGGCCCCATGGACCATGATTAGCGAGGCCTGGCTCGCAGGAGCATCCTACAGCCATACTGCAGGGATGGGTATGAACGCGGCTGACCAGCAGTCCCACCAGGGACTGTATGGGATAGAGGAGGTGCCATGTCTGCCCCCGGGGAAAGAGGGGTGCCAGGCAATCAGAAATAACAGAGAATAACTTATTGGCATGCCTGATTGGGGTATTTCTGATGCCATAGTTTTATATCTCTCTGAAACAAACTGTACTCAAGTGGGTCAATGGCCACTGGCAAATCAGTGCTTTCTTCGGTAATGAGAGTTAGTGCCCCTCATCGTTAATTATAGTGCCTTGATCTGCTTTAGTGGGCTGGGGTGGGGGGGGGGTGCTGTTTTCTAGTAACAGTAACCACATGTTTTTTGGGAAGAACCTGGAACTGCAGAGGGAAGGTTTTTTCCCTCTCTATGCTATGCCCACCCTTAACAACAGAATAAGGGTATTAGGCTGTTGGTAAATATGACAGTAATCATTTTCAGCCTATGTTTCTTATAACAGTTGAAGCAGTTGTACAGCTCATCATCAGGGCCAAAGGCACATAGTATCATAGTGTTGCAATTGATTGTGAGAAATTCCCGAGTTCATTTTCCTCTGAAAATTTGGGAACCGTTTTTCAAACTGTGGAGCTTCAGTTCTGCAAGATGTTAATAGCTGTCCCTCCCATCACTTCCACACTGGAAAATGAACCTCTTTTTGTATACGGTTCATAGACATACAGTGGACTCTTGAACAATAAGAGGGTTAGGAGCACCAACCTCCGTACAGTTGAAAATCTGCACATAACTTTTGATACCCCCAGGACTTAACTACTAATAGCCTACTGTTGGCCCAAAGCCTTACTGATAACATAAACAGTCAATTAACACATATTTTGCTATGTGTATTATATACTGTATTCTTAGAATAAGGCAATATAGAGAAAAGAAAATGTCGTTAAAATAATAAGGAAGATTGGATGTGGAGAGAGCAGAGTGCCTGAAAAATGGCTCCTCTGTGTATAACACATCCAACAGCAACTTGGGCTTACTCCTCACAGGTGGCAGGACACCATGACCTTCCTGTGACATTACGCCCTATATATATATATATAAATAATAATAATAATAATGATGGGAAAATACAGTTATAGAATTTACTGAAAAAATTCCATGTATAAGTGGACCCATGCATTTCAAACCCGTGTTGTTCAGAATTCAGCTGTACTATATTCAGTACTCCCCTCTTGGAGCCTCCCAATGCACGTGAACATAATGCACCACAAGAAAGAAATATGTTTACTCTTATTATACCCAAAGTTTCTCACACTTGCTTAACCATAAGACCTCCCCTTTTTAAAATGGAACATCCATTAACATCTTGAGGGCTTGGTATCCCAAAGAATATATTTTAACAAAACACTGCTTTAGTATTCTAAATCATATTTTTATAAATCTGCCTGTATAGAGAAGTGATATAACTTATTTCAAACTGAAATAATTTTGTTTGTAAATTGCTTTGAGATCATTATAGTAACTGTGCAAACCTTTATATATCGCCATGCAATAGTTTAAATAATTACATCTTAATTTTTATTTTCAATTGATTTTCTTTACCTATTATATTATGGATGGTAAATTTTTTAAATAGGAATTATGGGTTGTAAATAGGAAAGATATTTCCAAAGAGTCATTAATTTTTTACTGTGTTTGTGGATGCAGAGAAGTCAATGTAGGGGCTACAGACTGAATTTATGGTGCTGTTTTTCCCCCTCTTAGGTTATTATTCGTGAATTGGGTGGTATTCCAATTGTTGGAAGCAAAATCAAGGATCCCAACCACAGTATTAAAGAGAAGGCTTTAAATGCACTGAGTAACCTGAGTGTGAATGTTGAAAATCAAATCAAGATAAAGGTAAGCTATCTAAAATCACAAATGTGTAAGGTTATTGATAAATGAAAGAGAAAACAATGAAAAGGTCAGTAATAAAATGTTAGTCGACTACCCTTTATAATGTGGTGGCCAAGAATTACCCTTTCCCCAGCTTTATTGAGATATAATTGACATATGACGTTGTGCGAGTTTAAGGTGTAGAGAGTGATGATTGGATACATATAGACATTACAAAATGATGACCACCATTGTGTTAGCTAACACCTCCTTCATCTCACATAGTTACCTTCTTTTTCCTGTGGTAAGAACATCTAAATATTCTTTTAGCAACTTTCAAGTATACAAGGGCTGCGAGTTTGACATGCTTGCACTAGAGTATTACTAACTATAGTCACCTTGCTGTATTTAGATCCCCAGAATTCATTCATCTTATAACTGGAAGTTTGTGCCCTTTGACCAACATCTCCCCATTTCTCCCACCACAGCACCTGGCAACCACCTGCTACTCTGTTTCTATGAGTTCGGCTTTTTTAGATTCTGTATATAAATGAGATCATTCAGTATTTGTCTTTCTCTGTTTGACTTATTTCACTTCATATAATGTACCCAGGTTCCATCCCTGTGGCAAATGGCAGGATTTCACTCTCTCTAATGGCTGAATAATATTCCTTTGTGTATATCACATTTTCTTTATCCATTTGTCAACAGACACTTAGGTTGTTTCTATCTCTGGTTATTGTGAATAATGCTCCAGTGCGCGTGGGGATATAGCTTTCTCTTCGAGATAGTGATTTCGTTTCCTTCAGATAAATACTCAGAAGTGGAACTGCTGGATCCTATGGTAGTTTTTAATTTCTTGAGGAACCTCCATACTGTTTTCTGTAGTGGCTGCACCAGTTTACATTCCCACCAACAGTGCACAGGGATGGTTTTTCTCTCCATCATTGCCATTTTTTTGTTTGCTGGTTGATTGATTGATGACTGGTTAATTTAAAGAAAAAAAATTTTTTAACCCTCACCTGAGATTATGCCTTTTCATCAGTTCTAAAGAGAGAGGAAGGGAAAGGGAAACAGAGAGAAATGTCGATTGGTTGCCTCACGCATACAACCCGACTGGGGATCGAACCAGAGACCTTTCTGTGCACAGACAGTGCTCTATCCTTGGAACCACTGGCCAGGCTATTGGTTTATTAATGACAGCCATTCTGACAAGTGTGAGGTGACATCTCATTGTGGTTTTGATTTGCATTTCCCTGGTGATTAGTGATGTTGAGCGTCTTTTCATGAACTTATTGACCATGTATATCTCTCCTTTGGAATAATGTCTGCCCATTAATGGGTAAAATAAGGCAGAGGAGGGAGGGATCTAAACCAGCCAGTAAGAGATGCAGTGAATTTTTTAATTTGGAGATTCAGTTTAACCCAAGTAGTAAAGGAACCAGGCCAGAGTCAAATAACATCAAAAGATAGATATAACAAATTAAGAAATTATGTTAATTCAACATTTATTGAGCTCCTGAACTGTGGTACAGAGCTAAGAAATGAACATGATTAACATCTTTTTTAAGAAAGCTAGACGGAAAGATAAGGTAAGTAATCAAGGCAGAACACGATGAAGTACTTTAAGGAAAAATGTAACTAAAAACATCGTTGAGTACATAGAAAGGGGAGATCTCATCAAAGTTTCTGTAAAAGGTAGATTACAGCCTGGCTCTTAAAGTCTACGTTTTCTACAGGTAGAGTTGGGGAGGAGGGAATTCCAGGAGAAAGGAATGAGCTAAGGTGGGCACAGCTCCAGGAATAACTGAGCTGCCCATTTGGTAATCTCGTTGCTAGAACTGAAATGGCAAAAGGTTCAGAGATAATAGGGATGTAAATACCCAACACATTTTAGGAAATGCTTTGAGAGACATCACTATCTGACATAAATATGACTTATAAGAGCTAAGGAAATGCTGTGGTTTTTTTTTTAAAGGAATGATGTGTGATGAAATTGTGACCCCAGAGAGCCAGTTGACTTGTAAACATCATTTAGATCTTGAAACCAGATTAAAAATTTAATCTCTCTTTGCTTTACTACCATTGCTTTAGTTTCTGTGGTAACATGGGTACTACCTGGGTATTATTTAAATGTTAAATTTCTTAGCATTTATATTAGGAATTTTTCTTACCAGTTAGAATGTTTGGTGGAGTTCAGATTTAGTTGGGTGAATACCAGTTATCTGAGAGAGAGAATTTTTCCAAGGTGGAAAGACCATGGCCAGACATAGAAAATAGAGTTCAAAAAACTTTCCATCACACTTGGTTTAGTTCTATTATGTGTGAAATAGGGAGTACTGCCGGCATTGCATTATTTTTTGCCAGTGGTGGTTAACAATATTATGAAGGAGTAGTTCAGATACGTTCCCCTAGGCATATATGAACCTTGGGCCATATATAGTTTTGCTCTATTTTTTATAGGACTAACTATAAAGCAAAATTCTATTTTACTCTCCCCTCACCTTCTTTACTCTTTTACTTCTTTTTTTTTTCTAGTTTTTTATTTTTTTTTATTTATTTTTTTTAATATTTTAATAATTTTTATTTCTTAAAGTATTACAAAGAGTATTACATATGTCTCCTTTTTTCCCCCCCTTGACATTCCCCCGGCCCCTACCCCCCGCCCCCACCGCCCCATGTCTTGTGTCCATTGGTTAATCTTATATGCATGCATATAAGTCCTTCAGTTGATCTCTTAATTCCCCCCCCACAAACCCTCCCCAGGCTTCCCACTGTAGTTTGACATTCTGTTCAATGTTGCTCTGCTTCTGTATCTACCCCTGTTCATCAGTCTATACTGGTCCCCTTTATTTGTCCCAACCTCACTGGAGTAGTCTCAACCTCACCAGGGCCGTCTGAGCCTCACCAGGGCCGTTTCAACCTCACCGGGGCCGTCCCTACCTCACGGGGGCCGTTTCAACCTCACCGGGGTTGTCCCTACCACACCGGGGCTGTTTCAACCTCACCAGAGTCGTCCCTACCACACCGGGGCCGTTTCAACCTCACCGGGGTCGTCCCGACCCCACCGGGGCCGTTTCAACCTCACCGGGGCCGTCCCGACCTCACCGGGGTCGTTTCAATTCACCGGGGGGCGTCCCCTACCACACCGGGGGCTGTTTCAAACCTCACCGGGGTTGTCCCCTACCACAACCGGGGGACGTTTCAACCTCACCGGGGCCGTCCCTACTCACGGGGGCCGTTTCAACCTCACCGGGGCCGTCCCTACCTCACGGGGGCCGTTCAACCTCACCGGGGCTGTCCCTACCACACCGGGTCTTTTACTTCTTAATGTACCTCCTAGACCAGCGATGGCGAACCTCTGACACGCGAACTCATTTTTTTGGTTGATTTTTCTTTGTTAAATGTCATTTAAATATATAAAATAAATATCAAAACTATAAGTCTGTGTTTTACTATGGTTGCAAATATCAAAAAATTTCTATATGTGACACGACACCAGAGTTAAGTTAGGGTTTTTCAAAATGCTGACACGCCGAGCTCAAAAGGTTCGCCATCACTATCCTAGACCCTATGTGAAGGTGCTTAGCCATGGTACAAAGAGACTTCACACATGTTCCTCCTTAATTCTGTTGTGCTCAGAACAGTTGACTCACTGTGCAGAAACTTACTGTTCAATAGAAAAACTTTGGAGATTCTAAGATGCTCACTTTTTTCCCCCACCTCCAGGTATACGTCAATCAAGTCTGTGAAGATGTCCTCTCTGGTCCCCTGAACTCCCCTGTGCAGTTGGCGGGACTGAGATTGCTAACAAACATGACAGTTACCAACGACCATCAGCACATGTTTACCAATTACATTACAGACCTGTTCCAAGTGTTGCTTGCAGGAAATGGAACCACCAAGGTACGAAGGAAACGTTGCTTACTTCAAGTACAAAGAGCTATCACATCAAGTTTATAAGATTGGAATTGAATTTTCAAGTCCCTCAAAAGAGAAAGTTAAAGTTTATTAAAAACCCTTACATGGGTCCAAGAAAGTAAATTATTTTTATCCCCTAATATGAATTTCAAAATTAACTTGTGAAAATAATATATTTTGGTTATCAATAGATTGGTATTTATTTGGTTTTCTGCACATCAGTTTACCTTCTACTGAAGGTGGCTAGCTTCCCTCCCCCACCCCACCCCAATGGTATCTTCGAGTGATAGTGCTGGTTAATTGAATTTTTGCTACCTTGGGGTTAACAAAACATATTTTTGATTCAGCCATTATTGGTTGAAAAATCTTTTTAATACTACTCTTAAGTTTTCGTAATGGATGTTTCAGTGCTTCACTTCAACCTGTTACGTAGACATAGGAAGCAGTAGGTTGAGGTGAATTAAGTAGAATCTCAAGAGACACCCTATGAAAGTTACTTAAGCAAGCCCTCATACTAGTGTGTATTCTTATCAAGTGCGATTTTTTAAGAAATAGCATAAAAACAGAAGGCAGATTAATCAGAGTTTCTGGTTTGTTGGGTTGATCATCAGTGTTTTACTGTGTTAGTCTCTGTTCTCTGGAACAGTTGACATAAAAAAGCATTTTATTGTTTGTTTGTTTTTAAATTGCCACCTGAGGATATTTCCATTGACTTTATAGAAAAAGGAAGGGAGAGAGAGGGAAACATGTGCATGAGAAACTGATTGGTTGCCTCCCTACTTGCTCCTACTAGGGATCAAGCCTAGGTATGTGCCCTGACCAGGAATCAAGCCTGAAGCCCTCTTGGTGCAAAGGACGTTGCTCAGCCAACTGAGCCACACCGGCTGGGCAAACACACAAGCATTTTAGAAGAACCGGATGTGATGCCAGACTCCAGATACACAGTGTCACTGAAGTTATTTCTGAGGTTATCAAATCGTGATCACAGTAGAGCCTCATTATAATCCTTTCAAAATTTGACCTGAGATGTTTTTATATGGGCTTTCCATATTTCCAGTGGCCAAACTTCTTTGGATGTACCCAAAGGCATTCAAAATTAAATGTAATAATCATAATAGTAATATCTTAACAATATTGCTTCATCCATTGACAATTTCCAAAATGCATGCACCCATCAGCATCTCTCTCTCTCCAGGAGACCAAGGTAACTTCCAGCCCCTGGGGCCCTGTGGAAACTCCCTTCCCTCTCCCCCGTGGCCTGGCAGCTGTAGGAAAATTCTTCCCTCCGCCTCTCTCTGCAACTGCCTTACCCCAAACCCCAGAGGAACACGAGTTCAGAGCCAGGCGAGTCTGACCTTGGGGCTGTAAAGATGGGTCTCAGACGTGGTCTATGTTTTAATATATTTTATGACTTTTTAAAAGGTGACTCACGCCCTGGCCGCTGTGGCTACTTGATTGGAGCATTGTCCCATACACACAAAAGATTGTGGATTTGATCCCAGGTTTCGGATTCAGTCCCTGGTCAGAGCACACATGAGGCAACCAACTGGTCCATGTTTCTCTCTCTAAATAATCAATAAAACGTGTTTTTGGGTAAGGATTATTTAAAAAAAAAAAAAAAAAAAAAGAGGTGACACACACCACAATAGTATGTTCTATTTCTGTTTTTCCATTACTGTGCCTAGTACAATATTTCTGGAATAGAAAATTGGCTTTTATGGTCTGTCTGGGAATCTAACCACCAATTATAACATTGTTTTTCTCCTTAAAAAAAAAAAAGAATTTAAAGTTTCAACTTGCAAACTAACTTTTGGATAGTAATCCATTTGTAAGTGGGAAATTGTATCCATTTTAGATATTTCCTTGGTAAGTAACCACCAAAATGACTTTCTTTTATCTTATTTTTAATAAGTGATCTCACTGTACTCTAATAACCTTTTGGGTATAACAGTGATTCCTAACTAAATAGAAATAGTGGAAGATGAATGTACATAAACTGCTCCATCTACAGTGAGAGCAAAGAAAACCTAATGGCTTAAAAGAAATGACCCAGAGCCCACTACAAGATGGCACATGTGATAAGAGACAGAGTCTAAATGTGGTTTCAAACTAAAATACATACTATGTTCTTTGGTGTGGGTTTTTTTGTTTTGTTTTGTTTTTTCCATATCATGTGTCTTCTACAGAACATAGCAACGTGGAATTTTAGTTCAGGATACTGTGTGTTGCTGCAGTTATTATTTCTGGTGTAAATCTGCCCTCACTGACAACTAAGGGCCTTTTAGATTCTGTTGACTTCATCCAGGCTTATTTCATAGTTTTGGGGCCACCCTATTTCAGAACTCTTGTCCCAGTTTTCTTAATCAAAACTTCAGTGAAGGTGGAGACGAGTGTTTATTCCTAACACTTTCTATCGGTGTCGCTGGCAGCCAGTTGGGCCACCCAGACCTGACAGTGACTCTAGGAAATGCACTAAAGAAAAAGGTCGGAAGTTGTCTTTGCTCTTTCACTTTACGAGGCTGTAATTTTACAAAGGATGTCTGTCTGGAAAACATGATCTCCACATATACAAGAAACTGTTACCCGTGGTTTCCACTGGGAGTGCAGTAGGCAGATAGGATGGTGGCTTTTGTTTTTACCTTGTTCTCTTCTACACTGTTTGAAATTTATCATGATCATTTATTAATTTTATTTTAAAAAATTTAAGGAAAATAAAGTTTAATATCAATATTTTAGTTTTCCACTGCATAATTTTTAATAGTTGATTAAAAAATAAAATTAAGCTAAGTCATATATTCTCCTCCTTGATTAACAAATTAGTATGTTCAACGTGTTCAAAGGACTATATCAGTATGTACGATCTGTATATATAAAAGCCTAAGCGACCATTTGTTTGACTGATAGCTATGACACGCACTGACCACCAGGGGGCAGACGCTCAATGCACAGGCAGGAAACATGGAACAGACTGATGAATCTCAGAGGGAAGCGGGGAGGGTGGGAAGAGATTAACCAAAGATCTTATATGCATACTAAAGGCCTGGTGCATGGATTCGTGCACCAGTGGGGTCCCTCAGTCTGGCCTGCAGGGATCGGGTGGAAACCGGCAGTCCGACATCCCTTGAGGGATCCTGAATTGTGAGAGGGTGCAGGCCAGGCCGAAGAACCAGGCCTCTAGTAAGTACATAAAGACCAGGGAGAAAATACCAAAACTTAATAGTGATCATTTCTGGTCATGGAAATATGGGTGAATTTCCTTTTTGTGTTTTTCTATCTTCTTTGCTAATATTCTCTAGTAAACACATAATGCCTTTGTAATCAAAGAAAGTTTTATAAAATACACATCCGGTTCCTTTCGGGTCTAGTGGAGAGCACATTTGTCACCGTTTCCAGACTTCAGAACCCCCGCCCTGCTCCTCACTCTCATTTCAAATATCTTGTAGAAAGTACAGTTTTATTTGACCTTTGTTTTTAAAGTAGGAATTCTATTTTAATTTTTTTATTACCAAGTTTTCAGTTAGGAATGCTGATATTTTAGCTACTTGCCTATAAGTTAACATTTATTTGCTGATTATTTCTATCACTGCCTATTTAAATGATTATAAAGCATTTTCACATTAAAAAAATAAATTCAAAGATTCATTGTGACCTACTAAGAAGAAAAGGGCCATATTGTTATTTATTTAATCTTGGTAACCAAATTGTTTTTAAATTTTCATACTTTAAATAGAAATAAACTGAACTTTGAAAGATTCCTTTTTGTTCCAAAGATCATATTTCACCTAACAGTAATCATAATACAATTTATGTAACACATGTTAAACCTACCATGTGTTAGATATGCATGTAGGTGGGGGTGAATATTGTCTTCACAATTTTCTCCCTATCTTCCTAACAAGGTAATTGGAAAAATTTGGTTTAAATAACACAAGTGCTCTGAGACCTGTGCCAGGTGTTGGGGGGCAGGAGTGGGTGTGGGTAGGGAGGGAGTGATCCCTTTTACATAAGATGAATTGAGAGCCTCCATGGAGTAAGAGAATTTGAGCCAGACCTTGAAGCATAGGCAGTGTGACATGGCGAGAGGACAGGGAGAGAAAAATCCATGCCAACCGAGTCTCAAATAAACCAATGTTGTTCTTATTTCAGGTTCAAGTTTTAAAACTGCTGTTGAATTTGTCTGAAAATCCAGCCATGACTGAAGGACTACTTGGTGCCCAAGTAAATAGCTTACATGTTTGTTTTGTAAATATACAAATGTGTAGATTTGGACAGATAGATCTGGATGGATTTATCCCTTTTAAAATGCTAACAGGGATCATCTCTGAGGAACAATATTGTGTTATGTTTTTTCTTTGGTTCTTTTTGCCTACATGAATTTCCCAAATTTTTTGTAAGGAGCATATTTTACTTTTAAAATTTGTTTTTGAAAAGGTCTCCCTAGTAAAAATAAATAGTAATTTTTCCATCTCCACCCAGTTTGGGATATACTTATATCACCACCTCTTTTACACTTGACTTGGTTATGCTCACATGTATCTCTTATCTACGGAAACACTAGTGTGAAAGGAGTTCCTAGTACGCGCTCGGTGCTGGGCCGAGTGCCGATACTCCGAGTGAGGACAGGATGACATGTGCTTGTCCTCACGGAGCTTACAATGTAGGGAGGAGACAAAAATATGTAACAGGAGAACAAGACAATTAAAAGGTAAGTATTCTGAAGGAAGCAGAGGTGGTGCAGTTAGAACGACCTCAGCTCCTGTGGAAAGAGACCCTGCTCTGTTCACCTGCTCATCCTGTGCCCTGCAGGGCATATGTGCAGTAAATGTTTGACGGGTGAATTGAGGAGGTCCCATGAAGACTGTATGATGGACCTTAAAAAAGGAAATGGGTGTTTTCCCAAATGATTGTTCTAGGATTCTAAGGAAATCATATTTTTCAGCTAAAACATGAAACCTCTTTTTTCCATTAGTATACAGTGTGGGGGTACATAAGATTTTGCATTTATGTTATACAATCGTAGGGATAATGTTCAATGGTAAGATTTTTAAAATGTATTCAACAGTTTTAAAATGGAAATATACATGAAAAATGTTTTCATATATTAAAATACTTCTTGTTTCCTTTTCCAGGTGGATTCATCATTCCTTTCCCTTTATGATGGCCACGTGGCAAAGGAGATTCTTCTTCGAGCTCTTACGCTATTTCAGAATATAAATAACTGCCTCAAAAAGGAAGGCCACCTAACTGTTCAGCCTACTTTCACTCAAGGTTCATTGTTTTTCCTGTTGTATGGAGAAGAATGTGCCCAGAAAATGAGAGCATTAGTTAATCATCATGATGCGGACGTGAAGGAAAAGGTAACAATAATACCCAAACGCTAACTGGTAGGTCATACTTTCCAAAGAGTAATGCAGTCTGGAAGTAAACTTCATCTTCCTTACAAAGGGATTCTTCCAGCTGCTGAATTTAAACAGTAAATATCAGACTTCATCATTTCCACAGCTAGAACTTGCCATAGTCTTGTGATGTATTTTAGACCATTTTATTGATACCAAACAAATATAACAGCTTGTTCTGAAACATTTATTTCCTTTTATTTTGCTCTTTGCTGAGCTACTTTAATTATTTCTTCTACATGAAGTGACAGTGACCTTTTTATATGTAAGCTACTCTTCTGCTGTTTGCTGTGATTAGTACTCACCTGAGAGAGCATTAGTATGTGATTGTTTCAGAACTGCAGTAGGAATGACCTTCTTTTAGTAACAATGAGATCCTATGCTCTTGAGTCCACCTGCCAGCCTAGCCATACTGCTTTCAAAAGTCTATTCTAATTATTAAAATCTATTCTAGTCAATGAAAATGGTAAACTTTTCGGAGAAATGTTTCCTACTACTCACCCACTCCCATTCAGTGTGCCAGCATGTAAAGATGCTGTTATAAAATACTGGGAACCATCTAAGTGCCCACCTATGGTCAATTGGTTAAGTCAATCATCTAGTCTTAAAGAACTAAGTAGGTCTGAATGTGCTAATGTGGAAAGACACCCCTGAAATATGAATGTTTTTAAATGAAAGCTATTTAGGCTCATATATGGATAGACACTTCTAGAATGATACTCAAACTCCTGGGTGTGGGACTGTGGAGTGAGGAAATGACTTTTCTATGTTCACGTTCTACTGTTTGAAATTTTTACTGTGGCATAAATTTTATCATAATTTTTTAAATAAAAAGGAAAAGTAACTCACAAGGTTATGTTTTCGCCTATTAATTGATAGTACTTTATTCATTAATTTTCATCCATATTTTACTTAACTAAAATTACATACAATATATGAAAATTTCTTAGCTATTATCTTTAATAATATTTTTGCTCCATAAGCTACTATAACAATTCATTGATATACTGAAATTCAGCCAGGTTTTATAATATTCAAGTTCATCACCACCATGCTTAGTATTAAGTAAATAAAAATGCAAGCAGAAGCTTTCCTACTCAAGTATTTAAGGCAAAGCTTTAATAGACATTAAATTCCATTGGTAAATACATGGATTTCCACAGGAAGTCAAAATCCTCAAACAGAAAGATGTGTTTTCATAGTTATCCTGATACAGAACTCAAACTTGAAAGAAATATTTTTACAGTAGAAAAAGGATTCAATATTGAGATGAAAACATGTAAATTCCTAAGTGGCTACATTAGTAATGTACATATGATGACTAAGAATAATACTTTTCTTTATCAGTGATGCAAACATAAGTATTAATTCCCTGAAAGATACATTTCTTTATAATAATTTTTTAATCTGCCTCCTTATTTACCGAAAATATATATTCAAAATGCACACATTAAAAACTGGGCTTTGGTTTCAATGTGCTTTAGCAGCATTGAATTCTAAAACTGCCTCTTTTCTTCTATTAGTTTAAATAAAAAATCACATATCCTGGAAATCAGAGCATTGACCCTGAAATGTCAAAATGCTGGAGAAAGAGGGGGAGTCCTTTTAACTACCCAGAAAGAATTACATAATGAAAATGCACAAGCAGATCTTTATCTCTGTAGATCGTGGCACACCTTGGCTTTTATTAGGTGCGACTTCTCCTAATTGGTGGTTCCATCTCTTGGGCAATGAGGAATGTCAGTGTTCCTCAGTTCCCACAGGAAAAAGGGAAACTTCAGTAATGTCTCACATTGGTAATGATGCCAGCTAATCAAAGAGGAAAGTGAAATTGACTTGAAGGAGATTAAAAGGTATTATGAAGTACATTAGACTGAATGAAGGGAAGAGAATGTATTTGTCTTTTTCAATTTTCTTTTTCATTTTGCAGATAAACCCTTCAAAATGTAGACATAAGTAAAAAATAAAATGGGAATAACTCGAGATTCTATAAGGAGAGATGAAGCTTAATGTACTTCTTAGTAATAAAACATCAAAGTAGAAAGAATGTGAATGGTAATTAAAACTTGTGAGGCAGCCTAGAAATCTGAGGCAGGCCCAATTAAATGGAACCAGCACATAATTTAAGGTGCTTAGAGACCATCAGTTGGTACATGTGAATACAAAAATAATGTTAAGGCATTCGACAGAGAAGAAATCAAGAGGTACTTTAGCTTGTTTCGTAGAGCAGAGGTAAGAGATGAATTTTCCATTCAGCGTGAAACAGCAAGGAAGGTGATCACAAAAACATTGGCTAGTATTAGGGCAACACACTCAAAACTAATCCACCACAAACCTAACATCCTGATTTGAAGCTGCTTGCTAAATGCTCCTTTGAAGTGAAAAAAGTTTATGCTTATTCAGTTTTTTTCCTGAAGGTCCATTTTATGGGGAAATTGTTTGTGCTTTAGTGCCCCCAAATCACATACAGTATATACACAAACATTATATACACATTTCCTTTTGACCAATTTGCATCTTTGTAGGTAAAAATGCTAAAATTTGATTAAGATCATTTAGATTTGGTTTTGGCTTTCCAAATTTTACAAAATGAATGAGATAAAGTTGCCAGTCCTCAGTGTTTAGTGTCCTGATATATATACTGAAATCTGTAGCAGGAACAATACATTATCAAAAAAATTAACCTATTTTCAGCTTCCAATTCTACCTATATGTATTAGGTAAGGGTATCCTAAAAAATCATTTTCTCCCTTATATTTTCAAAGTGCATTTAAAAAAAATCAATTATTCATAGTTTTTGGAGGTAGCTCAAAATTCTCCTCTTGTTACACATGAGGAAACTGAGGCACCGTGAGCATAGGTGACTTGTTTCAGTAACAGAAAACTCCTTGGTGAAATTAAGTGGCTAACTGTAGCATGCATATATATGTGCTACGGCACCACCTGCGTAGCATTTGGTGTAAAAAACCTACTTTGATTATTTGTTATGAATAAAGTTCATTTCACTGAGACTATGAATGAGACAGAATGGACCTCCAAATGTATCTAATCAGCTCTCTTCACTTAAGATGGTTCAGAGTAATCAAGTGACTTCAGAGCCCTTAGGACTGAGCCTCAGGTCAGCTGATTCCTCTCTCTCTCTATATATATATATATTAGTATTCTGCACTGGCTTACTAAAAGTAGAATCATGCTGAGGGAATCATTTAATATAAAATATGATATCTGAATAATGTCAAACATAAAATATAAATCTTATTAATATATTGAGTTAGAGCTAAGAAACCAGAAAAATATGAGTGTACAGAGAGAATAAAATTTAAGTCAAAGTGCATGGTATATTAACACTTAAGATCTGCATTTAGGTTTGTAAAATATTTCCTTGCAGCTATATTTGTGCTTAGCGTCTGACATTTAGATTAAAAATAGAAAATCTCATAAATCACATTCTCATAACCACACTCCCTTATTCTGTCGGGGCTTTTGATTTAGGGATTGTAGGCATGCAATAGAAATATACTGTTCCTTTCTTTTTAAAAAAATGTCTTTACAAATGTAACTTAGCCTAACCTCTTCTATGTTTTTATGCTTAAAAAATATATCACTTAATATTTGGCATGTAAGCTACTCAGAGTAAGAAGTGCTATAAGCATGTGAGAGTCAATTTTATCATTACTCTAGTGTGAATGTAAGAAATACATTTATGTGAGCAGTCCTCTGAAAAATATCTACTTATGTACACAGCCTTGACTAACCTTGCAGAAGGCCCTTAAGAAAAGAACAGAAATGAGTCTTTAAAATCAGTTTTAGCCAATTCATTACTTAACCTATACCTGAACTCTTTATGTGAACTGGCAATCGTATTAGTAAAGTTACTACATAAAACATAAAACAGAAACTTGCAAATGTAAAGGAAGTTTCCTAATGTAAAAAATCATAATCACGTACTTTCAAATTTATATCAAATTTATTTCATTAAAAGCTCCTGTGCTCGTATTTATTCAAAGCTTTCATCACTGGTATGTACGTATCTTGATTCTCCATGCTTCAAGACAAAAAAGTCTTCATTCTTAAGTCCATACCTTTCTAGAGCCTCATTCAGTTTCACTGGAGGCTCTAAGTAATGCTGGCAAAGGGCAGAGAGAGGAAAAAGGGGAGAAAGGTTAACCATACATGTATTTGGGGATATTTCAAATAAGAATTCAAACCAAAATGACTAACATGTCTACTTAAAATAATGCCCTTTTCACTGAAGCATTAGCAAATGAGTTAATCACATTTTCTAATACAAGAGTCATTAATGTTAAGTCGATAGAAACGTCATACTTACCAATCTATCCAAACACCATGTGTGTCAAATTTGGTTCCAACTTAGATTGAACAACATTAAATTGCATGAAATCTGGTCACTATTTCACTACATGAAATTTCAATCTAAACGGAATCAATGCCTAAGATAATATTAGAGAATTAAATATTACCAATATTTTTTAATATAGAAACTTACATTGCAGGAGTGTTGTGTGTGTAAGCAAATGCTAGAGAAACCTTTTTGGCTGAAGAAGGGTTGTTATCCTCAAATCCCTAGCCACATATTGATACTGTAGTGTACAGAGCAAAAGAGGGACAGAAATATGACAGGTGGAATGTCCCTTTGTGTGTTCCCCTTTTCAATCTAAAAAAAAAAAGTGAAGACAGCTTATTAACCTATCAAATGTTTTCCAAATAAACTGAAACCACTTGGATATGTGTTATTCTAACTACTGATTTAAAAGATATTAACAATTAAAAATATGTTTAAAAAAAGATATTTTTAAAAAATCACCTCACCAGTTTTTCTCTTTTGGTCTAAATCTTTACATTGTATAATTGCTACTTTTCCCCTTTATTTCAAATGGATTTCCCCCAATTTCAATTTTAAAAGCTTGTAAAATGTGGAAAAAAATCAAACAGTGTCTCATCACCAGGGGGCGGTCTGCCTCCACCCTTCACACAACCAGCATCCTTTGAGCACCGTACAGTAGTCAGACCAAGGAACCAAGCAGAACCATGGAGCTTGCAATCTAATACAGAGACAGATAAGAAATGAATAAGTAAGAAAACAGTATCTGATCTGAGTGGTTGATATATTCTGGGGACAAAATGTGGGCAAGTGTGGGATGTGGAGGTTTCATTTTAAATGCAGCAGTCCAAGAAGTTCTCTCTGAGAAGGTGATATTTGAACAAAGACCTGCTGGGACAGAATGCACAGGGCTTTGCAGGCGATTGTGAGGGCTGTGGCTCTGACTGAGTAGGATGGGAAGCTACTCAGTAGAGGAGTGTCATGATCTGATTCAAGGTGTAAAGGTCACTGTCCTCTGCAGTGCTGGGAACAGACTGTAAGGGCAGCATGTAGCAGGGAAGCGATGAGAAATGGTCAAAGTCCTAATATAATTGGAAGGGTGAGCTGATTGCATGTGGGGGAAAACTGGATGGAGGGAAGATATGAGAGCAAAAGAAGTCAAGGTTTTGGCCTGAGCAACTGGAAGGAGGATTTGCCATTTACTGAGATGTATGAGAAATAAATTTGAGGGAAGCTCAGAAAGTTTGGCTTTGGACTTAGATTTTGGTACCATTGTTAAGAAAGCAGTTGGAAATATAAATGTGGATTATGGGAAAAACCTGAGCTACAGAGGGACAGTCGATAAGTGGTATTTAAAGCCATGAGACTGACGAAATCCCCACAGGAGTAACCAGCTAGAGACGAAGTCCCTGGGCTGAGTCCTAAGGTACTCACTGTTGAGAGGAAGCATAAGTGAGGAACTGGCAGCAGAGACTAAGAAGGGACAGCTGGTGATGTACTAG